ATATAATTCCAACTATTGAAGAGTATACATAACATCGACTAGGTAAAGTTATAGTAAATTAATAATTAAATATAGAAAATTATTTAGATAAAATGTAAAATTAAGCTTATTTTATATTTTTTGATTTGTAGATGAAGGTGATTTAGATAATGATGGAGATGAAATAATCAGGTATGATGATCTGGATGCATTTGGGATGAAAGAGTTCGATAAAGTAGGACTTAGTAAATATATTATATTGCCATATATGCTTATATAAGTTCTTAGCAAGTAGCAAACATATTAATCCATGAGGCATGATAGTCTAGAATGAGCCTTGTCCTGAGGAGCATTCATCGGAGCAAGGTCAGGGATCGACAAGTAATCACCCCAATGAAGCTATCCCATTACATGAGCTCGATCAAGGATGCTCATGTTTCGAGCGAATTTGACCAAGCAACTCATTTCAACAAGCCTTCGCTCGCAAAGGTACTCACATTAGCATGGGCGAAACCCCTTGGTGGTCAGGGGGGACAATTGCCCCCCCTCAAAAAAATTTTAAAAAATATTGATGATGTGATTTTAGGTAATTTATTACTTTTCATTCATTTTTTAGTCTTTATTGATGATGTGAAAATTAGGATTGATTCCTCCCCTGCACCTTAGGAGGATTCGACTCTTTCAATAATTCAACCATGTCCATCTATCTTTCAAGGGTATCTCCATCAAATTTATAGGTGGCACATACCTAAATAGTCCATAATCATAAATATATCAACTACATTCATCCCTAGCTCATATACATACCTTTCACAAATATTATTCTCTCACCCCCAAAGGATTTGCCACTAGTCCAATGAGCTGTCCCCCACAGATTAGTCGAAGATTATCATCCTAGAGGACTCATTGAGGCCACTCACTTTTGAGAACTCAACCATGGCACTCATCTTCGAAAACTTGTCACCCACATAAGGCGCTCATAATATATGTTCCAAATAATGTCAAGATACATAATGATGTGTATATTTCAGATTAGTCATAATGTATGTATAAATACTTACCCATCAAATCATATTTTTTTATAGGTGTAGAATTTCTCGTTGCCCTCTTGACTCATAAATAAGGGGGTATATTTTAGACCTTACATCATTTTTATTGTTCATAGAGATTAAGTTGCTTCTCAACCATACTCCACAGTCACTAACTTCCCTCTCCTATTCCCTTACTCTACTTAGCCAAACTTATTGTTAGGGTCATGTGTTAGTGTTACTCATGGGCAAATTTGGATCCAACAAGAACCATGCATTTTAACATCTTACATCAACCTCTTTAAATTTTATTATTTTCTTTTCAAAATTATCATTAATATCTTCATTTATTATTTACTATTTTACATTATAATTAAAAAAATATGGACAAAATATCTTGATTTAAACTAAAGAAAGTCATAAAAATATTTAAGTGATTCAAATTCACTAATTCAGAGAAGAATATGGCTTTGAAGCAGTCAAATTAATACGAATCAAAATAGGCTGAATTGACTCCATACTAACTCAAAATAAAGCGTTTACTATTGAGACTTGCACAGCCTTGTGATAATGTATCAAATTCTTTAATATAACTTCATTTGGCCATTGAGCATATTTGCTGACTACACTTAAATAGCGTATTATCTATACTTTTCCTTATTAAGCACGAAATTGTTGAATGATGGTTTCAAATTACAATATGTATTCCTATGGGAGCAGAAGCTATCCTTTTGCAAAGAAAAAAAAAAAGAGTTTAGTTTTTGATATAAAGTGCTTCATTAGAGAGAATTTTTAGTTTCAAAATCTATAGGTTTCAAACGTGCTTCAACACAATTCAAAGTTCAAATAAATCTTAAAAATTGGCAAAGCGGGTTGGACTTTGAAGTATATTTAGGCTCAATCTGCCAAATTGGTTTATAATGCACACCAAATTGATCTTTGTGTCGACGTTGGTGTTCATGGCATGCGTTAGTTTTATAAATGATGGAATGCATATTGTTGACAATAATGGACGATAGAGTTGGTGGGTTGTTGGTGTAGTTGAGCAACGGTAGATGAGCAATAGTGATTGTGAAACTATTCATACGGCAATGTTTATGAGATCAATGTTAGAAAGTAGTGGTTTGGAGATTGTAGTCGGACAATGGTGCTCAAGATACCATAATCGAGCAACAAACATCGAGATGCCATAAATGGGCTATGGTCATCATAGGGGTATAACTAAGAGAAGGTGGACATGAGGTCATAATTAAGCAACAATAATCAAGTGATGACGATTGAAAGTTTATAGGAAGGCAATAATAGTTGGATGACAATAGTTTGGAGACTATAGTCTTGTGATATTAGTCAGGAGATCATGTTCATGTGATTGTAGTTGGATAAGGGTGTAAACGAGTCAAGTTTAGGCCCTTATCGAGCTCGGTTTGTTACTTGAAAAGCGAGCTCGAAGTCGAGCTCGAGCTCAACAGGCAAGCTAGAACTCAAGCTCGTCTCACTGTAAACGAGCTCGAGCCATAGGCGCGAATTTTAAAATTTAGACGGGATTTTTAAACTTAAGCAGGGTTTTTAAAACTTAGTCAAAATTTAGAAAAAAATATGAAATGTTCAACATTTAAATAAAACTTAGATGGTTTTTATTAAATTTTTAATATTTAAATTTAAGAAATAAATAAAAAATCTTCCCTGTACCGTTGCATATAAGCATCATTTTGAAAATGAGCCTAAAGATTGTAAACGATTCATATTACTTGGTGTCCCTATAATTAGCTAGTATGAACAGGATAACATGGACAGAATCCATCAAATGTCTCCATACATCTATAATTACGCATCTTTTTCAGATTTATATTGGAAATTCCGAGGTAATTTCTGTTCTTTTGATAATATTGTTGTTTAATTGTAGTTTTGTCATAGTACAATTGAACATTAATATTGATTTCTCTTTACGTTGTGCCTGAGGCCACCATATGGCGTGCTGCATCTCTGCTAAGAAAAAAATTTGTTGGTTCAAATGGAGGTGCAAAGCAGCTGAAGAACTTAATGGATGAGGATGGGCTTTCTGGTTCACATCTGGTTAGAATTTTCAAATATAGAAACTTTAATGTTTCATTTTACAGAAGAAGTCGAATTTTGCACCGTGGTCGAATGTTCGAAGGGTGTTTGCACCTTTCTACATGGCATTTATAGCCTTTCAAACTATTCTGTAGATAGTACAATTCAAAAAAAAAATTTAAAAGAGCGTCATATATTTGGAGCTCATGTTATTATAGTTTGTAAGATTTTACAAAACTATAGGAATTCTATTGTTTTATAGATTCTTCTAGTTCAATTCACAACTTGAGCATAAAGATGTACTTGTTCAGCAATTGCTACCTTTCAATCAGCATACAAAATGTAATCAAACTTAGTTCAAAATGAGATTGTACTTTAAAATATGCTAAAGAGAAAAAACATTCAAGCAGAAATATGCCCTTGTTGTCAATTTCTAAATGCAACACTATCGTTCGCAAGTATCAAGTTCTGAATGAGAAAGTGAATGGTTGTATTAGGTAGTAGGCAACCAGTGAAAAAATTGTCAAATAATCATGATATGAATCATTTAATACATGTGTTTAAACACAAGATGACTTGACCAAATATTTGACAATTGGATTACATCAAGGATCAACTTTAAGCCCATATCGTATTACTTTAGTAATGGTGGTTCTTACTAGACATTTGAAAGAGGATGTATCCTAGTATATGCTTTATGTTGATGATATTCTTCTTATTGATAAGACTAAGAGAGGAGTTGAAAGAGGATCAAATTATGAAGGATAATTTTGGAGTCTAAAGTTTTTCATTTAAGTCTAATATCCAATACATAGAGTCTAATTTTTATAGTAATAAATCAAGTGGAGGATTGTGACTTTGGGTGATCAAATCATTAAAAAGGATATGCATTTTAGATATCTCGAATCTATGATTCAAAATGATGGTGAAATAGATAATGATATTATAGTAGAATTCAAGTTGGATGGTTGAAATGAAGGAATGCATTAGGCATGTTGTTTGGTAGAAAAATACCCCTCAAACTTAAAGAAAAATTCAATAAAATGGTTGTGAGACCTACAATATTTTATAAAATATAATTTTAGTCGTTAAAGTAGAAGCATAAAACTAAGCTAAGTGTTGCAGAGAAGAGGATACTCAGGTGAATGAGAGGCATTACTCTTAGAGATAAAATATAACATAAATATGTACGTGAAAAGCTTGGAATAACTCGAATGACATATAAGATTAGAGAGAGAGTCACCTTAAACAATTTGATAATATAAACAATTGATCTTTCAATGACCCAATTAGAAGAGTAAATGTATTAAATTTAACCTATATATTAGGAAAGATAGGCATACACCTAACTAAAAAAATTTAGTTATAAAGTAATAAAAATGACCTTTTTATTAAAATTAAATGCAAATTTACCACTTAACAAAACAATGAAAAATAAAAAAATTTCATATTGTTATCCCCTCATAATGAGATAAAAACTTGATATTATTGTTGGTGGCAATAACTTTTAATATTGATCTTTCAAGAAGAAGTAGATATGTAAGAAATCAGAAATCATAAAAATTATTAGATTTATTTAAGTCATAAAAACTCATTAATTATTTATATATTATATTGATTTTAAAATAAATTTAAGAATATTAAAACTCATCTTGATCAAAATTTAATTAGAACATTCAAATTCAATTTTCCCTACAGAAAAATGTTAAACCCTTTTTTCTTGCATGGCCAGAATATGAAGGGTCTAGAGCACATCACTGTACGTAAAAAACGAGAACTCGGAGGAAGAAATACCATTTTAAGTTTCAAATGAACTATATACTGCAAATGCTAGAATTGTAGTTCAAGCAACCTATCCTCGATCTTATGGAAACCATCATAGAACTTTTCTCAATCAACTAGCACAAGAGCAACAGAATGCACATAGTTGGTCGTAATTAATTGACAGTAGATTATGAATTGGACTATTGAAAAGTTTCATTCAATGACATTGCCAAACAGGAGTAAAATGCAACAAGCCAACCAAATGGAAAAATAGTTCAATACTACTACATCAGACATATTTTCTTTCCAAGAAAGTACAACTTCGTATCCCACTATTGCAAACATTTCAAGCTTGACAATTAAGAGAAAAGCTGAAGAGCATGAACATAGGCCCTTCAATAAGCAAGCAGGAATATTAAAAATAAAAAAATAAAAATTCATTTCATGCGACCGAAAAAAAAAAAAACTAGAATCTTATATATTAATGTGGGATTAGCTATCGGAAAACTGAACAAATAAGTTATGGTGAAGTAAGAACGACAAAAAAAATGTTACCAGGAACCAACCCATTTCCATTATGATGCTTAAATATCCCCAGGAGGAGGTGACATTAGGCTTCCCGCACTGATTATTGCTTTAACTTCTCTTAAGAGCTTTCATTCCTTCAATAAAAATGATTTCACCAAAAACATGTTGGTAGAGGTAGTTGGGTGGTTTAAAAGACTGATAGGTAATATAACTTTATCTGCCATCTGAGTTATCTCGCAGCCTTCGACAAACCATCTTCCAGCAATACTGCAAAGTCAAGGCTGCGGAGATGCAGAGCAGAGGAACACCAATTGCACAGCCCCCAGGTGCGAGATTGATCAGAGTCTGAAAGAGAGGGTTAATATCATACGATTTTCAATTACAGCAGTTAGAGAAATAAGAAATGAAGCAGGAAATCAGCCAACGGAAATATATTTGTTTTTGAACATAATAGAAAATTGGCAGCTTCACAATCATAATAAAAAAGGACATGCTGGTATTAGGTGAAACTCAATGCTGAAACAATGGATGAAGAGAGAATGCCAAAACAGCTTATTTCAGCTTGCATTCTAGATTGCACTAACAAGAATTTCAAGTGGAATCATTCAGTAGAAATGGATCAAAATTGATGCAATCAAAATATCACAAAAAATACATAAAAGCTAGGTCTTTCTTTCAAAATAAGAAAATACATAAATTAAGACACAAACACGCTTAAATTTTAAAACAAAACATGACACAACTAAAAAAAACTCCTAAAACTGCTTTTCTTTCATCGAGAAGAAAGATACATATGAGGTGGACACTTGCGGAGAGAAGAATGAGATAAGAAGCTAGAGACAAAATCGTAGAAAGGAGAAGAGAAATGGAACAAGTTCGCAAACTTTCCCAAGAAGAAACCCGGAGGTTTTTTGCTCCAAAAATTCTTCACATAACTCTCTTTTTTTTCTTCAAAACACCACATATTTATAGTTGAAAAGAGGAGTCAAAAGCCCCTTTCTTCCTCCATCCGAACCGATCAGGAAAGGGGAAACATAAGGCCAGCAGGCGGCTTCAGCAGCAGCAACCGAAGGGACCACCTGGGGGAGAGGAAAGGGCAACCACAGCCAGCCACGGGACAGAAGCCAGCAGAGGAACCGAACGGACAACAGAGAGGGGGAGGGGAAAAGGCAGTCACGGGGAGAGGAAAAGCCAGCCACGGGGCAGGAACCAGCGGAGGAACCGAAAGGCCAGTAGAGATGGAGAGAATGAACCCAATTAACTCTAATTTATGAGTTGAAAAAGCATCATAATGAGCTGATTTAATAAGCAGAACACAACAGCCACCAAAGAGCAGTATAACCCGAGACACCCAAGCCTAAACCAAGGAACTAAATCAGCCCAAAAACCAAGGCATATCAATTGTTTGTCTGCTTGCTCAAAGTTAATAAGACTTCAAAAACTATAGGAATTATCCAACAAACAATGTCATAAATGATTAATGGGGACTTCATATCATGGAAGGTCTATCAGAGATGTGGCCGTCGATCTATGGCCATGATTGAGCTATTGTATTTCTGAGTTGTTTTATGTATTTTCTTAATTATGATATCATATTGTATTTGTTTTATTAGTTTCCCGTTGTACCCTTTATGTAAGGGAGGTCGTATGTAAGCCCTAGGGGCATTGTCGTCCTTTTATTTTGTGAGTCTTTGTACGAGGCTATTTATAGCCCCATTGTTCTTCTTTTCA